TTCTGTGTTAAACCCACATCCATCATTGCAGGAGATTTAAAAACTCATAATGAGCACGGAGTCCGTAACGTTTGAGTTAATGTTTCTGCAGCCTCCCACTCAGCCTGCAGGACCTCCACCTCCCACTCCATCGGATCAGTTGGAGGGGAATGCATCATCATCCAAAAGGCTTCTGTCCAAACATCAAACCCTACACACACACACACACACACACACACACACACACACACAGTAGAGGATCAACAGGAACATCCCATTGTTGTTACATGTGTTGCTCCATCTGCTTTGAGGCCGACTCACCCTGCAGCCCCTCTTGTGCCCCAGCCAGCAGCTCACCTCCGACTCTGAGTGTTTATGCTGAGAAAGTCTATTTATTCAGGTGGGAGACTCAAGAAAAGAAAACAAAAAGGAGAAAGTCAGCATGCAGGAATATCTCCAGCTACTTCGGATTGCAAATTTTATTCAACACCGGGTTCAGAAGTAAAACTGTGGTTGAAAAATAAACACAAATCTGATGACTCAGCAGCTTTGGTGGGAAAAGTTAAGGATGCGTGTTTACAGATTTTGTTTTGATTGCAGCTTATTTCCATAAATGTATAAATTATTCAGACCAAGATCCTGTTACACTTGTTTTTTCTGCATGACACCATGATGACCCCAACAGAATAACAAATACATCTCAAGAACGTGACTCAGAACCATCAGTGCTGCAGCTGTGTGTGTGTTAAACAAACTTGTGAGTGTTCATGAGAAGGAAGCCATGTGCCCTGCTCAAGAGCAAATTGTCTTCAGGGGCGTTACTGTGGAGAGCAAAAGTGTAATTGTAAACCATCTATGTTTGTAATAGATTCAATTATGTTTGTAACGTGAACTTTTCACCCAACAGCAGCTTCTCCTCGCCTCTGCAGGGGATTTCAGCTTTTCAGTGTGTGTTTTCTAACCTGCTGATACGCTTCTATAGCTGCTGGATCAGCAAACAGACCGATGCAGTTAGCGTCCAAATGTGCATGAACCCAAACAGGATGGAGGTGCCAAATAAAGAAGCCAAATACTCAGCTTTAAAGAGAGGAAAAGGGAACAAACAAGAAGATTGGATTTATTACTCAGAAATCTAGTGTTAAAGGGCAGAAAAATAAAGTAATTAACAGTCAAGCACAACAAAGAAGATAAACAGCTCTTTGATCTGGTGTAACAAAAACACTAGTTTCTCCCTTAAAGATTTCTTGTTTGTCAGATGTATTTGTTTCAGACCAGCAAACAAATCTCATTATCAGACAAAGATAGCCTGAGTGAGTAAATGACGGTTTCATATATAAATGCTCCAAATTACCTTTGCATTACCTCCTTAAAACATTCTTTTTACCATGTAATCAAGGGTCACAAGAAGCTGGTGTTCATCTTCAGCAGTTAAAGGTGAGATATAGGAGGCACCCTGGACAGGTCTCAAGTCTATCACACAAAGAGACAGAAATTCATTCACACCCAGGGGAAAGACCATAGGTGCATTTGGACTGTAGGAATCTTTTGTAGTTCTTATCACTTTTTCAGGAACCAGCCAGTTTTTGCGTGCATTCAGACAGATGGAAACTGGGAACGCTTCTCCTCCGTTAACCATTTTAGCTCCTACTCATGAGTAGCTTCTCAACGTTATGTTTTTGGTCCATGAGAGGGAACCAGAGAACCCAGGGACAACATGGGAGAACATGGAAGCACCACATACTTATTTTACTTATTTGGTAAAATAAAAAATACAGTCAATAGATAATTTTACTTTGAAATTTTCTGTGAAAGCAAAGATCAGCTCATCTGCCTTCAATTAATAGTCCTGTTGATCTCAGTAGTGTCCTTCAGGGCTGCAGGATCCCCTGATCCAAAAAATAGTAGCTGCAATGATGTTTTAGCTGCAACATTGTGGGGACATGACTAAAAAGCATTTCTGTATATTTCTGCCTGAGCAGCTGCTCCTGTCTGCCTGTTTCCATGTTTCCATACTGTATTTAAAGCTGGTTTTAAGATGTTTAGCAGCTCTCTGATTGCATAGATTTCCATGTCTGCTGACCCTTTCCTGACATATGATGCTGCTTTTATCCTGCTGGTCTACTGACCTCACTTGAGAAAACGTATTAAACATTAACAATATGACTTAGTCACTGAAAGCTTCTTTCACCATTTCAGGTTAACGTTTTCTCTGTCTTTGTGTGAGATGATATTTTTTGTCGGTGATTTATCTAATAATAGTTCGAAACCATCTAGATGGTGTTTCGTACCAACAAAAACCCATTCCAGATATTGTATGCATGCATGAAGGAGTGGATAAAACTGAGCTCTGTGTTTAAAGGTCTCCATATGTTTGCAGTTTTTCTTGCTAACAAACTGAGAGTCATAACTGAGACCACCCTGGGAAAGATGCAATTATCTCAGGCAGGGTGTGCTGTGGAGAGGACTGTAGCCCAGGGGACTCTCCCTAATGAAATCACCTGACTGGAGTCATCAAAATCAGCACTAACCACACTCTCACCATCTGGCATTAAAAATAAACAGCTAAGTAGCTGAAGACATGACAGAGTTTATTTACACCAGAAAAGTACATCCATTCATACCTGAAACCTTGTTTCTAAAGTGAAAAGATGGTATGATGTCAAAAACAAAATAAAAAATACTTGCAATCATTGTGAGTTTGTGAGCAAAAACTTTGATTTTTATTTTCTATTTTTAAAATGTGCAAATATTAAATGTCAGAATAAAATTTCTGTTGTATTTTAAACATGGATTTGCCTTTTTGAGACAAAAACATGTTAAAATAAGTCAACAATAAATTCAAGAAAACTAAGTTTTATTTGACATCATCTTTGAGCAAATGCTGAAGCGTTCAGATGGAAACCGAGCAGAATTAGTGATAGCTATTGTTTAATTTTTAGTTTGATTTAGTTTCGTGGACATTAAACAATAATATTCTGTTTCAGAATTATCGTCAGTGGCTACTTTTGATATTATATCTGTATGTCAGTCATGTGAATGTAAAACTGCAAAGAATAATGGTCTATCGGGGCGACGGTGGCACAGGAGTTAAGTGCTCGCCCCGTAATCGGAAGGTTGCAGGTTCGAGCCCCGCTCAGTCTGTCGCTGTCGTTGTGTCCTTGGGCAAGACACTTAACCCACCTTGCCTGCTGGTTGTGGTCGGAGGGACCGGTGGCGCCAGTGCTCGGCAGCCTCGCCTCTGTCAGTGCGCCCCAGGGCAGCTGTGGCTATGATGTAGCTCATCCCCACCAGTGTGTGAATGTGTGAATGACTGATTGTGTTGTAAAGCACCTTGGGGGGTTCCAGGACCCTAATGGTAAATGGCCTGTATTTGATATAGCGCCTTCTAGAGTCCTGGGACCCCCCAAGGCCCTAGAAGGCGCTATATCAAATACAGGCCATTTACCATTTATAAAACAAAAATGCATGAAAATGTGAATAATTATTTTGCATAAATGGACAGATGGTGTTAATATCTTCATTGTCTCATCCTTAAATCAGCCCAGCTGCTCTCACTCAGTAATCACTTCTCCGTGGTTCCTTCACTCATTTTTCAGATCCCATTCATGCATCCAGCCTGTGATTTTAACACTGTTTTCTCCTTTTCACGTGTTCTGATGTTCTCATTTATTTGTTAATTTTACTCTCATTTCACTGGTGTCTCTAGAGGGGGCAGAGTAGCAGCTGCCCCTTGATAAAATCATCCAGTCACCATAGCCTCTCCATGTGTGAATTTGTACATTTGGTTTATCAAAACAGTATTCTTTATCCAAACAACTCATAGATTTACAAGTCATGTGCATACCTCTTAATTTCAATTAGAAATGGTAAAATGGACTTGATATTTGTTTTGTATTAATATTAAAGCATTTGTGAAAATATTATGCTGAAACGTCTACTGTGCATTTGATTTTATATAATTTCAGCATGATGAAGAGAATTTGTAGAAAAAAACTCAAGAGACAAAAAATTCCAAATAAAAGAAAATGTTATTGCACCTTGTTGTTGTTGTTGTTGTTGTTGTTGTTGTTGTCGTAAGATCACTCAGGATGTTTTCCATTCCCACACTGATCCATTGTCTTGAATGCGACTCTCAAACTGCAAATATTTTGGAGGTGAGAAAAAAGAACATATTTAAAATGTTTTGTCTAAATGTTTAACTGAAGCTGTTAGTTTTCATTGAATCTGGAGAAATTTGATGACAAGCTGACCTCTGATGAGTGTTTTTTGAGATTTGTGTATTTTATACACATGCACTGATGACAAAATAGTGAACTTTTCTTGAGACAATAAACTCTATCCTCCCGCTGGAACCTCATACCACACTGTTTCCCTCATCATTAAACCCGCTGCAATTAAAGTGGCACTGTGTAAGTTTCCTGGCAATAGGGAGCAGCATACATACATTTCAGGGTAGTTTTACTCCATAGGTAAATATTGTTACCTGTGGAGCAGAAAGCATGCAACCTCGACGTGACTCCTCAGGCTTTAGTGGTCCTTTAGTTAATTCCATCGAGAGGATGCAATGTTGATGCTAGTTTTCCTGATCTGCTCGGGGTCCTGCACCTGCCGATGACGTCATCATACTACAGCAATATACCGCATATATTGCATCTCTTTTTTGATTCTGCTCTTTCACATATGTTTTTGAAACTAAAAAGAACTACAGCATGGAATTAGAGATACGACACAGCAAGAACACACCTAAGATGTTTTTGAAAGAGTTTAGCAGTTTTGTTGTTAAATCTGTGTTTCTTTCTACCTAAATCTTTTTGAACGTGGTAACGTAACTTACATAAGTCACACGTCCAGCCAATCATGTGATGTCACTGACAAGCACAGGACCCCGAGCCATTCAGAAGGAAATAGCATCTAATATGGTGTCCCCCATAGTTGCTAGACCTGCACCCTACTTCAGACCTGATTTTTATGGTTATATGGTACGAAGCCACCAATATCTTTCAACCACTGGACATCACTTTATTTATTTTCAACAACGTTGACAAACATTTCCAGGGATTAAAAATACACGTTGTCTCTTTAAGCATTTCACTTTATTCATTTGTTTGCAAATGCAAGTCTTATTTCTACAGATAAAGTTTAAAGAAGTAAAATAGACTAATGCTTCCACTTTCAGTTGGTCTGAGCTCATAAGGGAAATTTACAAAAGTGAATTTGTCATTGTGTGGAAATGATGGGTGCTGAGATGCAGTTTGTCCTATTCTCTAGAAAGTGTGTCTGGACGATATTGGTTGATACAATTCTCTATTTGTTCTAATCTTAAGGAGGAAACATGAAATTATTTATATTACATGATACATTTGCTTAAAAGTCATATTTTCTGAATTCTGGTGTTACTAATAATAAATCATTTAAGGGGAAAGCAGCCTAAATACTCCAAGGGGCCTCTGGTAGCCCCTCGCTCTTTACTGCTGCTGACGGGGTCTGTGTAACATGAGTCAGGATGAAAAGTGCGTGCTGGATCTGACTCCCAGTCCAGATGCTGCCGGCTGAAGGAGGCGCATGATGGATCCCGTCCTACTGCTGCTCATCCTGCTCACATCTCCAGCGCTCTGCTCGGCTGTCTACTCCGGGCCCCTCCAGCCGGAGATCTCCAACGGGACGTTCCACCACTTCTTCGTGCCGGACGGGGACTACGATGAGACTGTGGATCCGGAGCAGTGCCAGATGCTGTTTAGGTTCTCCGACGTGTATCCGTGCGTGCCTTTGGAGGAGAGCGACGCAGCGGTGCGGGATGACTTCATCATCAGCAAGCTGCAGGCGGAGGACGCGGCGCGGCTGCTGGAGAACATCGGGCGCACCGTAGCGCACGACCTGGACGGAGAGGACAGCTACGGGAAGTTTCTCCGCAGAGAGATCTCCCAGATCAGCGAGGCCTTCACCAGCGTGGACAAGTCTCTGGTGGAGCTGGAGGTGAAATTCAAGCAGAGCCAAGAAACCGACCTGAAGGAGGAACAGCAGCTGAGCGGAGCTGTAGTGAAGCAAGTGAGCGACATCAGGGGCGCACTAAGGGAGACCACGGACATCTACCAGGGACTGAAGGACAGACACGAACTGCTGTCCCTC